GGTAAAGGGCTTGATTTTGTAGAATATTGATTGTCTTATTTTGAAAGAGTGTTGTGGTTGGTTGTTGTGGTGTCTTCATCATATGGTCAGTCCCACTAGTTATATTAAATCCATTTCTAATTCTTAATTCTTGATCACAGGGTTTTCCTAGTATCAGGTTGAGAGATGATTTGTTACTGTAAAAATGGGAGGTTTTATTTTAAAATTCCCAGTGGGGTCTGTTGTCCAAGAGGATTGTAAGTATAATTTTCAAAGTGGTATAGTCTGGATAATAAAGTTGAGGTGAATTGCTTCTATCTATTAACTTCTATGTCCAAACTCATAAAGATGTTAGAATAAGGTAGGTCCTTCTTTTCCTTTAGTCTATGATCAGCTGCAGAGTTGTTAATTCATAGAGAAAAGCTTAAACTGAATTCAAAGGTCCTGACTCCCACGAAATCACAGCAAGCATTAAGAGTCCAAATATCTAGAGGATGAAAAAGTAGTGAACTCAAAATTTCCCACAATACCCCTCGAAAGTAGTGTGCAGCCATGATCACTAGACAAGCAGCTAAATCCCAGAATACTTTGCAAAAGCTCCCCTCACATAGCATCAGGGGATTTGTAATTGGGGCGAGAAAGAACAAAAATTATATAGACACCGTGAGGTGTGTGGGGAATCGGAGTCATGCTACCAACGGGTGGTGAAAAGTAGTTTTGGTCTGTCCAAACAGTCAGTTAACTAAGTTTACTATAAAGTCCACTATATCGTCCCTGCTCTATGTAGTGATTCAGGGGTTAGAACAGATGTTCAGACACAGCAGCAGATTTGCAGCCACTTTTGCCTGCTAAGACTGCGGGCTTTCACCACGAGTGGCAGCCATCCCTCATCCTCGAATGTGTTTAATTTCATATTTAGTAGCTAGTCATAAAATTTGTTACGACCATGGAAAAAAATATTTGTCAAACCTGCCCGTCTGCAGGATTTTCATTGATAGAGAAGCGTTAAGGTATCCAAAGAAACAAAGAAACTGTAAATTATATCAGAAAACTTGTTGCACCCTGAGTCACAGCCATCCCTTGTCCTCGGCTGTGTTTAAGTTCATATCTTTAGCTCATTCATAGAAATAGCTAGAGCCATGTAAAAATTGTTTGTTACAGCTGCATTTCTGCTGGAGTCACTAAGACAATACATGTGAACTGGGTCAACAATTCAGTGACTTTTGGGGAGTCTAGAGGGATTTTAAGGAGAAATATAAATTCTAGAGTAATTCTAAATACATTGTGTGAGATCAGAGACTTGAGTCTAAAAACTGGCCAAAAACAGTAAAGCTAAGTTTTTGGGCATGACAGTGATATAAAAAACTTCTTTTGTGTATAGAAATCCTCCCATCTTCACTCCGTTGTGCATGGCACCACCTAACGCTGGGTGTTTTCCTCAAAATGTGTTGTACTTGAAGGCTGATTTTGAAGAAACCATATCAGTTATGAATATACTTTCTTCAGCTTTGAGAAGATGAAGGATTTGTCTACAAACCAAACTTTAAACTGTGTTTTTAAGTGAAAGTATGACTCTTTTGGAAAGTATTTCACGATGGACTACAAATGCCAAGAAAAGTATTAGCACACATCTCATGATTAAACCTGATATTTTTATACCAATATCGCAGGGGTGCTCGCTAATCTGGACGGAAGAAAAATAAAGCTATAAAAATAAAGAGTTCGTTTTATCCACATAATAGTAACAGGTGCCAATAAAACCTAGTATCCTTTGTGCTTGATTACATATCATTATAGACCAGGAAGTTTAAAGGAAGCCTTAACTTACTTTTCTTTGGATCCACAAATAAATCCTTTGATTTCTCTTCTCTCTTTTCCACTTTTTATTCAGTTTCCACTTGCAAAAGCCTTCTTTGCCCAGATGGTAAATCGATTAAAAGAGGTCTGGGGAAACAAGGTGCCCAACATCATGTGTTCCAGATATCTTTTCAAGACTTTTTTTCTGCATGCCTTTCACGTTGTTTAATTTCTTTCCTGTAGCTCATTAACCCAGAAACTCTAAAGTTACAAATGAAATAAAATGGAAACTATGAGAAGATGGTGCATCAAATTAAATATTATTGTTGCTTGAAAGTTTTAAATGGAACAGAATTGCTCGGGTGATCCAAACTATGACTTGCATTAGCAAAGTGTTAAAATATGTTTAAAAAACCCTATTCTGTGACAGCAAGGCCTTTAACAGAGACGGTTACCGGTACATAGAATTTTGTGATACATTTACTCATATTCAAATAATCAGAATGCTAAAAAATGCTGGGTTCATTTAGCTTTTTTTATAAATTTTTATCATGTTATCCGAAGAAAACTGATGTTTACAGACAATCTCCATCTAATCTGACCTGGTATTCGGTTGCTTTGCAGAAAAGAATGGACAAGAATTTGTGTGAATCCGGTTGATGCATGCCGAGAAGGTGTATCCACAATATCAAATCAGGCCTGACTTTTTAAAAAAATGTTGATTTCCATCCACTTCATAGTGATGCGCTGCTCTCTGTTGGTCTGTAATTTAAAATTAAATTAAACAGGTCTTTATTATAAAGAAATGAAAAGGTTGGTTAAGTACTTTATTATCCCACTGTATGAGTAGCTGCCTGTATCAGCTGCCATTATTTGTACAGACAAATTTTTTACAAGAAATCAAAGTGCTTCCTGGGTGGTCTCACTGTCTTTATCATTGAAGATTGCAGCACTTCACATTTGCTGTTTTGAGCACTACGGTGTAATTATGAGAAGAGACAGTACACTGTTTTTTTTCTACTAAACAAGATGTGACTGAAAGGATGTGCAGGGAATGGAGCTTGTTTCCTCCCATTAATCTTTCTCCCTGCAGGTCGTTCTCCTCCAAGGGGGCCTCCCACTTTTTTACAATCCAAGCCAGAATCCACTTGACCCCTAACCCTATAGTCACTTCAAACAAATCACTTGTTTTGACTTTTGTGACACACTCTCCAAAAAGTCAAGTATGCAGAAAGGTACACACAGCGCTTAGCCTTCTTTCCTGCTTATAAGTCATCGATCAGACGGGTGGCGTGAGCCAGCCTGTGGCCCCCGGCCACCTAATCTAACCTGCTCTACCACAAACATCCCATGCATTAGTGTTGGGTTTCTTTGGTTATTCGTGTTAGACATGCTGAAAGTGTTGCGTTTCCACTTAGCATTGAGGAGGGAAATGTACAGTACATTTTTGACTTTCAAGGAATTTAGAATTATTCTTTTTTAAGACGTTTTTTCCTCATTATTTTTTGGGGGTAGAAACTTGTGTTGCTTCTCACAGCACTGAGTCTTTTATGTGTTTTTGCAGGTTTTTGTTCTTGAGGCAGTTTGGCTGCATGCCTTTTGGGTGAGACACAATGATGTTTTATGAGCTGTGCGTAAAGTGTAATTTTTTTTGTAAGCTGGTCATGAGAATGTGTTGGTTTTTACAGGGGTCTAGTCAAGGCTGGCCGTTTTGAAGTAGGCCAGACAGCTGTCTTTTACTGCCCCAGGGGGTAAAAGGCAGAGAGGGAGGGTAGTTATTTACCTCTTTTATTAGAGCAGGAGGTAGATTTTATTGGGGTCAAACTGTAACACAAAGCTGTGAGGCAAGTAGAGATACTTAGAAAATGTATTATCAACACCAAATTCCTCTCCCAGGAGTTCATCTACATCCAGTTTTTACTTGCTGCCTTTGTGCATACCTGATGCCATCCATCTTTCTTCTCTTCATTACTCCTTCACCGTTTTCCAGGACTCCTCATGGCCTGCTACTAGTTAAGCACATCTGCTGCCAATCGGCCATACCCCGTAATCCAAGTGGCATTTCCTGCCACAGGAGACACGCAGTCAAACTCACACACTGATTTGTATTTGTTCAGTTATCACTCAAAAGTTGCCAAAACAACAGATGCTTCATAGATAATGATGTTTAATGAGATTACGGTGAGAGTGAGAGGATCAATAATACTAATGTGTCCGTTCAGTTACATGTGCAGATGGATGGCAAATAAAAGAGGAAGCTGAACCTTTGACCCCTTCTTAGTGATGGAGGGATTATTGGCTCATTTTGCTCCACAGCCATTAGACATGAGTTATCACTCACAGTCTGATCAGGATAGAAACAGGAGTAATAATGTGTTACAACTGGATATGTGTAGCTTAGGCACAAAGTATTACTGAAATATGTCATATTTGTTGGAAAAACAGTATCCAGTGTGTTCAGATGTGAAACTTTTAAAATCAAACAAATTCTTCGACTCTTAGGGTAGGATTGCTTAAACTGGTTACATTTACAAGACTAATTTAAGGGTTTAACACACACTAACCGCTTTATTTCTATCTCCCTGTTTTTTTTCTCCAAGTTTCCAAACTGATCTGCTGGATCCAAATGTGAAATTATTGCAAACGTGTTTGTACCCCTTGAACTTTCTCATGTTTCCCTAAGATAGAGCCTTGTGCAGCTCTTTTTGCCCTTCACAGTTGTTTTTCTAATTGTTGTAATAATCATTTTAAATCTTTGAAAACTTGCTCCATTTGGTAAATTTTAAAAGGGACAGGCCCCTGAGCCAAAAAGCATAAAGAAATAAAGGTCAACTTTGTCTGAAAGACAGGCTGTACTTTGCAATTGTCTTGTTAAACGTTTATTGAATGTTGTAAAAAATTATGTTTCAGATGCCAAACAAAATTAAAATAAAAAATACTACAATGCAGTTGTGTAGGTGCAGAAAATGCTACAGGCATTAAAAACAGACTTAAGGGTAAACAGGAGGAAAGATGTACGGAGAATATGAAGAAGGAGGGGGCAGACAAGTTATTCTGGTTGCAAACAGCTGACAGAAAGCCTAAAATAAGATGGAGGCATTTATTATGCACACAGTCTGCAGCTACACTCTTAAAAAACACAAAATAATGGGCAGTTAAATGCTGTTCTGCTATTTTATACCTTTTTTCTGCACAGGAGAGCCAAAGAGCTGATGTCAATGTGGTTTATGTTTTTTTTATTTTTACAAGAAAAGTGTTTTATTATCATTTCATAGAAAAAAGAGACATAATGTAAAAATCGTTATAGTTATAAATACAAAGAAAAATTAGTTGGGATGGGGTGTGGGGGCATTGTAGAGGAACAGAGAAGACAGAGGTTAAAACTGACCTAATACAGGAAGCGCTTGTGGATTGGTTTACACATCTAAAAAATATAGTCTTATATCTCACCTCCTCCTGCTGCAGTGCAACTATCAATTACACAGAGGTACAGACAACATATGAGTGAGCTGCAATTTAGCACGTCGATGCAACAAACAAGTTCATGTCTAAAAATTAAGCTGCTCAGATCGGATAACATGAAAGGAAAATAAAAACAAAGCTCAGGCTTTAAATGTGACATGCTAAACACAATCGGCACATTAATATATGGTAGAACTAACAGGTTAACTGGAATAAGTCTTCATATTTGTGTCTCCCAATGCACAGGAAGGAGTGACCAGTAAAAGAGGAGAGAGGATTGAAAAAGTGAGAAGTGCTCTTGCTCATTGTCGTTCGTAGACTCTGGTGCAGACCACATCATCTGCCCTCATGGTCTGAAACAGCAAAAAAAAAAAGAAAGAAAGGACAGCGTTAATGATCAACCTTCAACTTTTCATGCTGATCCAATTTATGCAAAGGTGCTCCTGGTAGCTTATATAGAGAACAAAGAGTTAAAGCAAGATGCCATTAAAGATAAAAAATTCGACAGACAATATATAAAGAGTATATATAGTACCAAAAAAGCATAAAAATTGAAAAAAGTTGTGATGTCCTGGAATATGTTTCCTTTAGATATATAAATATCTGTACAATAGAGAAGAGAAATGAGAGAAAAGATAAATGCCAGCCCTCATCAAGTATTTGTCCATAAATATCTATCTTTTTTAATTTAAATTTGTTAAACTAAAACCTATTTACTAGGAGATGATGCACTATAAAAGTTGAACTTATAATAAACTGCATTATTAATAAAATAAGGGTCTTTACTCTCCTAGACTATCTTGTGTATTTTCTGCTGGAGCCTTTTTGTAAGACTCGCTGTTTTGACAGACTTGCAAGATTTCGGAGCATGTTGTCAAATCCTGGCCAGGCTAAACAGACTTGGATTGATTTGCAACATTCCCAATAGACTAAAGAAGCAGTCATGGAATGATGAACATTTGCTTGTCTGGCCACTTTTCCCCTCATAACGCAGATCAGCTGTGGTTCAGTCATTGTGAGGGCGTGATGGATTTATCATGTGGGTTGGGATATTAACCAGCCCAGATTCCACATACAAGCATCCTCCACACTTTTTACACATATTTAACCCTCCTAAAGCCTTCAAGTAACTTTGACTTTTTATTTGTTTAATTCATTTCAACATATTTTTCCTATGATAATAGATGCCTGATTATACTTTGCTAACGTTACTAACCTTTATTAGAACAAAACAGTAATGTTTCAAGAGGCAAGTTTACTTTCTCAGGTTGGTTCCTCCCTTAAAGTGACAAAAGCTGAGATGAGCAAACAGAAACAGATCCTCACGCGAGTAGGAGAGAATCTATAGGTGCATAAAAAGCAACCCATGAGCACAGCGGCTCAATTATTGGGAGGCTCCTGGTATTACATCTAAATGCATAGAACATTCAAAGTGCACGTTAAGAGCAGTTCACGTATGTTTGTTTTAAATAAAACCAATAATCTGAGTATTTGTTGTGCATGTGCACTTTTTGCAGAATTCTGACTTCATAGAAAGCCAGTATCAGGCCATAATAGCAGTAATGCTTAAGGCTGCAGAATAGACTAAGCGTAGGGATGGTGGCCAAAGTAGAACCCATGGAAAAGGTCCTTAAAATACTTTGATTAGTCAAACCTTGGATAGATTTTCCCATTGCACAGATATTCTTTAATCAAATTACTGTTTGGCAATAATGCTAATATTCATTCATTCATTGAGACTACTGACTTGACACCAGTCATTTAAAGGTATAGAGGACTATCTGTTATTTCCGGGTGGATCATCTCAATAAGTGGTCTTCCTAATTGTCAATATCCTGGTGATATGTTTACGTAAATGAATCTCCTATGTGCTCTTCCAGTTTGCTATCTACTATAAAGTCTCCATTCTATATAGTGATTGAGGGATTTAGGGGTTAGGGCTGATGTTTGTGCATAGTAAGCTTGTATGAGCTATGAGAATAACAACTTTTAAACAGAACATACACTCAAAGAAATGGGCTTGTGCAAGTTTTTGGCAAGTGGAGAGGCGGGTCTTTTGAAACATTTAAGAAAATCCTCCACAATACCTCTAAGAACCACCACAGTAGAACATTTTTCAATATGGTTTAATAAAAATGCTTAACAGAAACTGGGAAAAGACCTTGAGTCATTAACAGAACAAAGCAAGGGTCCCAAAGTTTATTTTTTTTTCAATGTGTAACCCCAACAGTTTTTGTTATAGGCTTCAATAAGTACAATTAAGTAAAGTCTGACTGAAGTTATGAATCCTTAAAAGGAGAGACAGGTTCATTTGTAATGTCATTGTTTAAGAGTAATAATGAATTCTTCCTTTTTTGGAGCAATTTTTATTACAGCGAGTTAAAAAACAATAAATTTTTTTTAACTCACTGCCTCACCACCTATTGTAAATAGACTGCAATTAGTCCACGTCTCAGCACATTATGTGATAGCTATTCGTTGCACACTGCACAACCCTTATGAAACAGTGACAAGAATAAAGCATTTTTTGTCAAGAAAGTCATAAGAAGTTTAGTTTAATGATAAAGCTGTTGAATGGACGTGGTGATTATGTGGAAAATATCATTTGACCTACATGGAAAATGTTTCTCATCAAAAAGTAGTGGCTGAACTGTTTTGTTTTTTAGCAGTGGTAAGAAACCTGGTCAGAGTTAAAGGGAAGATGGATGAAGCTAAAGCACAGGACAATATGGGGCAGATAAAGACTTGAGACAGAGATTCTAAACTACGAGATGCACCGGAACGGTTTCTGACCAATATATATTCATGTGTTAAAATTGCCCAAAGGAAATACAGACCTGAGCAAAAGCATAAAGCATTGGCACACTTAAAAAAAACTATCACAGTTTGACTGAACCTAAGGTAATCTGCAAGAAGGAAGGCTAAAAAGCAAAAACAGTCTCAGGACGTTTTAGGCTCATAGAAATATATCCCAAAAGAGTTGCAGTTGCAACTGCGCACCACAAAAAGTTTTCAAACTTTCCCTTGTCATTAAATTATAGTAAAACACAATAAAGTTTGGGGTTGTGGAATGACAGGAGATAAAAAAAATCACAGTGTACACAAACTTTTGCAAAGTGCCTTAGCTTATGTTTTACCAGGATCAGCTTGCCGTCACTGGTGATCTCTCGGGTCCAGGATGTCTTGGGCCCTTCTTTCTGCAGAGTCTGCTCACAGCTGATTTTGCTGTCTGTTTCCCAAACAGGTAAACTCTAAATGTATTAAAAAAACAAAAACAAAGGAGGACACATTATAGATGGTTACAAGCCATGCACAGCCTGATTGATTGTAATGCACAGAGAAGGGAACCCATGAGAGAGTATCTAATGTAGGAACAGAAAAAAATATGCTGGACGCTGATCGCTTGGAAGTGATAAGCCGCGATGCAGTGAAGTCCTGGCTCGCTGAATGTGTTTGCTTTGGAGACGGCCACACAGAGGCCATGCAGGGGGAACGGGGAGAGTCCCGGGGAGAGTTAGGGAGGGACAGAGGATGAGAAAGGCCAAGAGGGGTGGATCAAGTGGAAAGACGATGGGATGTTGAAAGAGTATCTTGATAGCCCATCAGAGAGCAAAGGAGGAGTAAAGCTGTGCTATTAGTTTTATTATGATAAAAACTCAAATTAAAGAGATTTATATTATGTAAACTTCTCCCTCTCCATTACACACATATCTCCCTTTAATCTCAATGTTTGGTTTTAGAACAACTGTTATCATTTAGGAATGACCCTTTGGCTGTGGTTTGCTTACTGTGCATGGGCGCCCGTCCACTGTTGACTCGTTGAACTCCTGCCCCACAGTGAATGTGATGTTCGTTGTGCGGACTGTGGTGGATGTTTTGATGGACAGCGTCTCCCCATCCTGCGAGATTTCTACCAGCGGCTTCGAAGCGGCTTTCACTGCAATCTTACGTAGCATGACATTCACCCCTGAAATAAGAAAAGATATGACAAAAAATATGACAATATGAAGTCTGAGAACGGTTTTGAGCACAGTCTTGTTGCTGTAATTCTGTAATTCTAAGATTAGCACACATTTTTTGTCATTATCTTGGCACTGATGACTGCATTATTTGTTCATTCCATCCACCTGCTTAGCTCAGCAAACTTTTCATTATCAATCATCAGATCCACCTGTTCCTCCTATTTAAACTGCTTTGTCCCAGCCATGAGCGCCAGATTAGTCAAGCTGTAGGTGAGAGTTTCTAGCATACAGGTGCTGGTCATAAAATTAGAATATCATGAAAAAGTAGATTGATTTCAGTAATTCCATTTAAAAAGTGAAACTTGTATATTATATTCATACATTACATACAAACTCATATATTTCAGATGTTTATTTTGTTTAATTTTGATGATTACAAATGACAACAAATGAAAATCTCAAATTCATCATATCAGAAAATTAGAATATTACTGAAGACCAATAAAAACAAAGGATTTATAGAAATGTTGGCCAACTGAAAAGTATGAACATGAAAAGTATGAGCATGTACAGCACTCAGTATTTAGTTGGGCCTCCTTTGGCCTGTATTACTGCAGCAATGCGGCGTGGCATGGAGTCGATCAGTCTGTGGCACTGCTCAGGTGTTATGATAGCCCAGGTTGCTCTAATAGTGGCTTTTAGCTCTTCTGAATTGTTGGGTCTGGTGTATTGCATCTTCTTCTTCACAATACCCCATAGATTTTCTATGGGGTTAAGGTCAGGAGAGTTTGCTGGCCAATTAAGAACAGGGATACCATGGTCCTTCAACCAGGTACTGGTAGCTTTGGCACTGTGTGCAGGTGCCAAGTCCTGTTGGAAAATGAAATCTGCATCTCCAAAAAGTTGGTCAGCTGCAGGAAGCATGAAGTGCTCTAAAACTTCCTGGTATGTGGCTGCGTTGACCCTGGACCTCAGAAAACACAATGGACCAACACCAGCAGATGACATGGCACCCCAAACCATCACTGACTGTGGAAACTTTACACTGGACTTCAAGCAACGTGGATGAAGTGCCTCTCTTCTTTTCCTCCAGACTCTGGGACCTTGATTTCCAAAGGAAATGCAAAATTTACTTTCATCAGAGAACATGACTTTGGACCACTCACCAGCAGTCCAGTCCTGTTTCTCTTTAGCCCAGGCAAGACGCTTCTGACGCTGTCTGTGGTTCAAGAGTGGCTTGACACAAGGAATGCGACAGCAGAAACCCATGTCTTTCATACGTCTGTGTGTGGTGGTTCTTGAAGCACTCACTCCAGCTGCAGTCCACTCTTTGTGAATCTCCCCCACATTTTTGAATGGGTTTTGTTTCACAATCCTCTCCAGGGTGCGGTTATCTCTCTTGCCTGTACACTTTTTTCGACCACATCTTTTCCTTCCCTTCGCCTCTCTATTAATGTGCTTGGACACTGAGCTCTGTGAACAGCCAGCCTCTTTAGCGATGACCTTTTGTGTCTTGCCCTCCTTGTGCAAGGTGTCGATGGTCGTCTTTTGGACAACTGTCAAGTCAGCAGTCTTCCCCATGATTGTGTAGCCTATAGAACTAGACTGAAAGACCATTTAAAGGCTTTTGCAGGTGGTTTGAGTTAATTAGCTGATTAGAGTGTGGCACCAGGGGCCATCAATTTTGAACCTTTTCACAATATTCTAATTTTCTGATATGATGAATTTGAGATTTTCATTTGTTGTCATTTGTAATCATCAAAATTAAACAAAATAAACATCTGAAATATATGAGTTTGTATGTAATGTATGAATATAATATACAAGTTTCACTTTTTAAATGGAATTACTGAAATCAATCTACTTTTTCATGATATTCTAATTTTATGACCAGCACCTGTACACCAGTGTGCTTATTCTTGCCTGATCCTGACTAGTTTATGCTCCTGGACCTGTGAGCCTGCCTGCCCCTGTTCTGATCTGTTTGCCTGACCTGTCTGCGGACTTCCATTTGATTCTGCCTGCTAATGACCTTGGATCTGTTTCCCAACCCCAGCTTGGATTTCCCTCCGGTACCTCTTTGGATCTCTTATCTTCTGGCCTGGAGTTCTGCTTCCTCATGACACAAGGTTTTGATTCTCCTTCTGAATACTCCTGCTCTTCCTTATTTGCTGGCTTCTACTCGTTTATCTGCTCTGCACCACCTTTGGCTTTAACTCCTGGAACTCTCTGGGTGGCTTCTGCCCAATGCTGTGGAGAAATCATCCAGCTGGATTCCACTCCTTCCTCTGGGCTCAGACTGAACTTAGAACCAGGTTAATGACTCACATGCTCATGATTGTTCACCATTATGTGGTCACTAACCTGTGTTTCCCCCTCTACAGAGATTCCAGTGATCTAGTCAAAGCTGACAAGCCACAGATCCCAGAGCAGTTAATATATTCTTTTAATAAATAACTTCAGTCTGTCTGCCTGAATTCTGGGTCCAACGTTCTGAGTGCTGACATTTTTTTTAGTACTTTGACAAAGTTTTAACGTCGCTTTGATGTTTTTTGACATATTGTTGATTTAGGACTTCAGACTTAATTGCATTGTATTTGTGTTTTATGTGACAGATCATAATAAATCATACAAAAATGGGAAGTGAAAGGAGCTATTGCTGTATGTTTGGGGTTACTCTGCTGGAAGGTGGGCCTCCTATCCATGTTGAAGTGTTTTATATCCTAAACCATCACTTCCTCCAGGGTTGACCTTTTTCCCTTAAGCTCCATCCATCTTCCCTTCAAGTCTGACCAGCTTTCCTACCCCTGCCTAAAAAATGCTTTCCCTCCTCATGATGTTGCCACTACATTGTTTCATATTAGTTTAGGGTCAATGTGTTTTTATGTGACAATATGTTGTCAGACCCTGATTTCCCCAAACAAAGCAATTGATTTCACTTAACCAGAACCTTCTCCTCAACCCATCTCTTGTGTTTGAATTAAAAACAATTACACAACTTTTGTATTGTTGGTCCAAACGTATAAAATATTATGTGTTTGACACATTTGAAAAAAGGCACTATTCAGGTTCAAAGACAATCTGTTTTACCCCCAGGAGGAAAAGAGCAAACTCAAAATCACATAGCTCTTTCCCACAATGATTCTGGGGAAACAATGAGGTAATGAAACAAAGCAAGTCCACACATCTGCGTTCCACCCAGACTTCATCATCTCTGAACATATGCAAACATGCACCCACAGACTAAATACACCCAGGCTCAAATGGGGATTTTCACTTTCTGCAGTCCACAATATCCTTTTCTTTTCTCCTTCCAGTAACCAGAGAGGGATGATGACAAAACCTCATTAATAGATGTCAGCTGCTGTGTTTGTTTAGTAAGTTATCGATCACAGGGTAACATCTGAGCAGGCTGAAATTATTATTTTGTCTTATTCAATGTTAACTGATGCAGAATGTGTTAAACAAGCATAAATGTTTGCAGATAAGGAGTGCAGACTGCTGAGGAGGAAGAAGAAGAAGAGGAAGAGGTGGTGGAGGGTGAGTGGGGTTCAGACAGCCGAGGGGAAGAGGGTCTGTGCGTCAAGATCTCTGTACAAGTGCGAAGGGAAGTGTGTATTCCGTCAAGTTGAATTCCACACCTCACACACATTCCCACCTGTCACTGAGTGTAAATATACACGCCGAGAAATGCTAAGTCACTGAGTGTGCATCAGTGGGTCCAGCAGTTTGTATGCAGTGTGTATAGGCTAAACATTGCAATGCAGGGTATTATCAGAGTGGAATTGTGGAGATTAATAAAATTCAAATTGCACTGTGTGAAAATTTGATTTAGTTATCAATACAAAAAAGAAATAATTAGGCAAAATGGGTTTACTCACGCAGCAAACATATTTGGATTTAGTTTATTAATACTGTTGTCACAATAGCTAAGCATTGAACTGTGAATATATTTGTCAAATTCTAAATTCCTAGAATTATTATTACCATTTTATATTTCATTATTATAAAATTATTATTAGATATTAATTATAAAATAATACAGAACACACAAACATTAAATCAGATAATCTCTTTTTTCTTTGTTCGATATTACTTGATATTACTTGATATCATCTTTATATTATTTTATTGTTGTCTTTTATTTGAATTGATTATCTAAAATAAATATATAAACATAAAAATAAATGCATTATTCAAAAAACCTTCAGTCTTTGGTTTATGGTAAGCTTTTTACAGCTATTAAATACATTTATTCATAAGCTTTCTCTGATCTCCAGTTTAATTTTTTCTCTTATTTGTTCATTTTTTTATTGAAAAAATTAGTGGGAAACATTTGTTGACAACAGGAAAAAAGGCTTGGATGCTTCTGCAAAAAGAGGACCTTCTTGTCTACAGGCAAGGGACCAAAAGGCAGACCTGAACACAGAACACACACAGACAAACAGTCAGTCAGGGTCAGAGGTCAAAGTGCAGAGGAAGCATTTGGGCAAACGGAGGAGAGAAAGAGTGAGTCAAAGAAGAGAGGATGGATATGGATAGAGGGTAGTTGGTGACAGGCTTCGTCCAGCTGTGAAAAGTCTCCAATGAAACTAGGGGCCATAGAGAGCACAGGCCGTCAAGTGGAGATGATTGTGGATGTTATGCTGTTCTCTTTTTGGAAGTGAATGCAACAGGCCTTTTTATTATTGTTGTTTTGAAAGTTTACAGTTTTTAAGGGGTTCCTAAATAATGGTTCCCTGGGCTTTTTCAAAAATCCTTTATCTCAGTCAAATACTTCTAGCTAACTGAGACCAAATATTGTGTAGAGTGTTCCTAAAATTAGGGATTGTGAAGGATCCAGAACTTATAGTTTGGTCTATAAACTATTTTAACTTCATTAGCAACAATAAAAGACATCTTGCTCTGAATAAATAAGTAAAGACTAAGCAGATTCATTAGCTTCCAATTAATCATCTCCCATATTCAAGGTGTTTGGATATTCATCTTGGTGTATGAAATACAATTTATTATGCTATAAAACTTTATCTTCTGGTATTTTAAACTTAAGGACTGCTGGTAACAACCCATGAAGATTCGGTTAGAAATTATATATGTGTGGAAACTAAATTGGTTATTTGTGGAGATAAGAGGGTTCTGAGTATAATGCTTAATCAAACTACCTCTAAAATTGAGGTCTTGTACAAAGTCAAGAAGGGCTTTAGAAATCTTGAAGAACTGCCAATAAATGAGAACAGCGCTTAAATTTCGCCCCTTTGATATAAGATATAATCAAACAAGGAAAGACTCAAGACTTTTGCAAAGAGTTCGAACAAAAAAAAAAACTCTGACCTCTGATTGTTGCGCACCATGCAACCTAATTATATCGCCATCCCTCCCTTTGTTAGAGCCAACTTCCTCCTCCTCTCAAACGCATACACACACAGTGATGGAGACCAACACAAGGGGTTCCTGGAGCCAATACTGCTCTCTAATTGCTTCAACAGGAATTCTCCAGCGTAATGAGTGTTAGCTCTGGACAGTAGGGGCCTCTGACAGGTATTTCAGTGACCTCCATGTGCTGTGGATTAAAACAAGTGTGTCTGAGAAAGTGTTGTGTGAAGAGCAGCCTTGTTGGCTGTGATCATATCTCTCTGACTCTGTGACGTGGTTTCCAGGTATGTCATCAGTGAAAAAAATATTGGGAAAACAACAGCGTGATGGGCTGCTCCGATGCAGACGCAAACTTTTCGACTGCTGAGAACTTAGATTTACCAAGGACATGTTGACGAAAGAAGCAGCTGCATTCATATTAAGTTCTTGCAGCAGAGTCATGATTTAAAGCCTATTAAATAATTTCTGTTGCCTGTATCTGATGAAAGACGGTGTTACGTGTTTGGAAGCAGACCAGTAAAAGCTGTCTTCATGTGGTTGTGGCTTTTATGAGCTTGCAGCAACATTTATACACTTTCTCTCACACTGTATGGGATTTTTTTGTTCTTCATATCGTCACTATCATTGTCTTGTTTCTGTTTCTACACATTATCTTCTATATTTCACACTTTATACCTTTTTGTTTATAACTGTTGCTACAAACATTGTTGATTTGGTCTAATGTGCCTTTAATCTGAAAAAATAAAGTCATTTATGCAAAAGGGGAAACAACCCATTGTCTTTTTATTTTTAATTTTTACAGAGCAGATATTCCCCAACACTACAGGGGAACCAGACTGAGTATACTGCTTGCTTTAGCTTGCCAAGACACAATATATTAGAAAACAAACAAGAAAACTTCCCTCCATGGACTATCAGTAATATAAGGAACTTCTCAGTGGCTTTTGTACTTTGTCCAAATAATACAATTTTGGCATTTTCTAATTTAGTGAATGTATTCCAAAAAATGTAATAAAGTTTGTTTCATAATCCTTAACAAGCTGCAATAATTCATGTTACTTGTCTTTTTTTTCACGTTTTCCTTCCAATTAACTTGCCATTATTATGTGTGGATTCAACAGTGTTAGCAACAGACTGCTTTAACAGCAAACTTGAGATAAAGCCCACGCTTTCTTTATTGCAAATCACTCCTTTTTCTCCTTGTTACGAAATATTATTTTTCTGTGAGGAATAAGATCTAGGGCTTTAGCTAGCCACTATCATTGAAATGATCAGAAATAAACACTTAAACCAATCTGTGTGTAAAAAAAAATAAAAATAATAAATACAGTTTGTAAACCTTATTACATTAGTTCTTTGTGATTGTGATTGCAAAGAACTTCAATTAACCTAGTGAATATTTTAAAGGGAAATAAAAGTACATCCTTATCCTTCAGAAAAGTTTCACTTTTTTTGATTGAATTCCTGAAATAATAACCTATTTGATATAATAGAATATAATTTTTACATTCTAATTTATTGGGATGCATTTGAGGTTAAATAAGTTTGTTTTTTTAAACCTACTCTTAACTTCACAGAGATTATCTGTCCTGTTTAAATTGTCCTACTGGGTAGCTCTGTTAGTGCAGGTTTTTATTGAATGTTACAATGCATAGCAAGTAATAAAATGAAATTAGTGCTTCACACAATTATTTCGGTTGGTATAGAGTTTTTTTTATTATTATTTCACCTTTTAATATTGGTTATTGTCATTGCATGACTTTGCTAATTAAGTGTAAAAGCCAGTTGTAGTAAATCAAGACCACAAAAGTACAACAATAAAAAGAGAGTAGGGGTTATTTTAGGACCTTTTGCAGCTTAGGTCCGGCCCTGGCAGCAGGTGTTTGTTCCTCTCCCTGACTGACATTTTTCATAATGATGCCATACTGTCTGCCCTACTGTATTGTGTCATAACGGTCCTCAGTAGTCACGCGCACTCAGATAATTTAGACACAGACAGATGTGCCGCCGTTTGTCTCCATTGTGTTTGCAACGGGAGACCAAAAGGGGAGATGGGAGAGAGAGAAAAGGGTGGGGGCCCAAGCTTTGAGTTTTTGGTTTTTACAAAATGACAAAAAAAAACCCTCACCACCACCACCACCCAACCCCAACCATGCTCAACAAGATGATCCCTGGTTTTGCAAAGACCCTTAGGGCAATATGACTCAGTGGGTTAAAAAAGGATTTCTTTGTGACACAGGGGCAGTCTGCAGGTCAGAGAGCATCACTATCATCACTTACCCAATGCTTTAAGGAGCTCCTCAAAGTTTTCCGAGCTTTTCATCTCCCAGGTGCCAGAGAAATCGGGGATTTTTCGCTCCATCTTCAGAAACAGGTAGTAATAAAATAACTAAAATGAGCAGACAGGTCCAATTTCTTCTGTTCCTAAAAAAAACCTGCTGGATGGTTCAATTCAGCGCAATCTGGTTGCTTCTGGCAGCTCTTATCTCTATATGTGTGATGCTGCGCTTAAAATGAATGGCACATAGGGCGAAAACACTTGCATGGGGACGCGCACGCCCCCTCTTTTTTTTGTGGGCACGCCCCGGAGTCCTACTGAGTGATGAAAAAAAGGGTCCATGCAGTTTGGATCTAACCCCGCCTCTACAAGCAACACGCATTTCAACCTATTCAGTTCAGTACCAAAAAGAAAGGAAGGCAGTGCCAAGCGCGCACAGGAGATTTCTCCTTTTTTCCAACCTGCCATGCAGATTGTGTAGGGATGATGTAGCCAAGCCAGTCTCTTGACAGGACAAGTCGTTTTGACGCGGTGATGTGAATGAAGAGCAAGTCAACCAGCATACGGAGTGGATGGCAGTGGCAGGGTGTGTGTGAATGTGCTTGATTGTGAACAGAAAGGGAAGTCAAGTTCACCCTCCAGCTCTCCTGTGCGCCATTGCTCTGTGCCATAAAAATAAAAGTGGTGGTAATGGGATACAGCTCCTGGCTGCTGCCCTTTGGGATATATCCGTTTAACTGTGGCTGAGGAAAATATAACCCTTCGGGGGGGAACGAGCAGAGGCAGAGGGCATGCGGGGATTAGTATTAAAAGGTGGGGTTGGCGCACGTTTGGGCTTTTTGCCCCCCGCTGCTTGGACGGAAGAAAGGGGTGAAAGGAGGAGGTCTGGTAGACGGGGTAAGGTCAAGAAGCGGGTGCCAGCTGGGTAGGAGGTATCCTTATAAAGATCACGCGCACAATCACGCACGCGGTGATGATGGATGGAAATTGGACAATGCAGACGTTAACTATTGACTCTTGATGGATGATCCTATCCGCTACACTGCATGGAGTATTAACCGGCGGCTCCAGCTAAGGAGGGGCTGGATAATAGCAACGGTTTAGGTGCCTTTTGAGTTATGTGTTTTACCCTATTAATACACATATTGTTGAAACTAAACCTGAAACACAAACATGATGACTAACAAAGGTAAAACAACAGCGTCTGGAAATGTAATATGCGCTTTTACGCACGGAGCTGCGTCCAAATTCAGTGAACTGCATCTCACACTGCGGCTGTATTTGATGTGAACAAAGCTTTTTCATATCGATCTCCCCCACACGCATCGGCCACACACCATGACACAACTTCAGCATGTTCTCACAAGACACCCAAAGGAGCTCTGGTTTCCACAGTCTACCTCTCTTCTGCTCCACTCACTGTTTTTTCTGCTTCCTTTTATCTTCGCATTTTTTTATGTCCTATATGCAAGAGCATCGAGAATACAGAAAATACACACCTTGAACTTTTATTTTAATTGCTTGTAACATACAGTGGAGTGGAGAGATGAGAAATGAGAAATAATATTGTGATAGATGTATTTCACTTGAAATATTTAGAAACAAGGACCCATTTATCAAACAAAAGTTTTTTTTGTAACCATTGGACCATGTCAAAGAAAATATTACATTCAGAATACAATTGAAACTTGATAATCACTTATTTTTAGGTCAGACTTTACTTTATTTAAACTCAGCTTTACTATAGAGCCCTTTGAAATGACCAGAGCTATACAAGAAGGAAAAAATTTATAAAAAACATCAAAACAATTTAAAAGAATAAAGAAGTTAAATAGATAATAAATTAAACAAACAATAGAGTCTCATACTTTGTTGATTCCTCCTGGGTAAAATGAGTGGGTAAAATGACAATGTAGAATTTATTGCATTTATAGCTTTGCAAGCTATTACAATTTAAATCAGCACTGTATTATCAATGTATTATCATACTTAACCAATACTAACCATTGGATAGGCTATATGCATAACTCCAAGACGTGGATGATCTTTACACCCTCTAAACAACACTGTGGAAACAGTAGCATGTTCAGGGAGGCTTCCTCACGTCCACTGAAAGACAGAAAGATATAGAACATCAATTCTGCTGCCATCGCCCTCAAGAGTAAGATTTCAGATAGTATTTGTTTTTTTTATTATTGAATAATAATATTGAATTTGCCTTATGAGATCAATGTAAAGTCTTTTTAAATTCATGACTGAAATGCTTCTAGTTTTCTTTGATCAGACATTTAATATAGGTGAAGTTGCGAGATGGAATTGGATCAAATTCAGCAGCATAAGACTAAACTTTCTCCTTTTTGTCAGTATGGCGAAGAGAATATAATCAGCGAGCAGCTGACATGTGACCTTTGGATTGGCTATACCCACAGCAAAGTATATGTATTGGGATAAAAAAATGGTATCGGAACATCTCTAATTACAAATTTCTTTCTTTCTTGTTGTATTCACTTACAGGGAACAGGGTCTACAGTATTGACCCCGGGTAAACAAAGCAACAATTAATTAAGTAAAACTGATAGTTGTTGTCTTTTGTTTACAGGTACCTCTTGGACAATAACCCTGAGGCAGGAAGAGGAGGGAAAATGTCCATCAGCCCATTTGTGAGGACATTGGTCCATAGACTAGTAGACTTGGAATGCATGGTGCAAATGTGCAAAGTTAATGATTGTGTTAATTTTCAGTTCTATGGATATTATACATTTTTTTGGAATAATGTATGGTCTTTGTTTTCTTTGTTCATGGAACAAATTCACAGCAGGTTTTAGTTAAAACCCTTGTGAAATCCAATGTAGAACCTTTACCTTATTATTTACATTTTAAATTTACAGTCAGTTACTGTCTACTGAGTTGCATTACTTTTACAGTAACAAATGAAAATACTTGCTTTACATCAACAGCTGCATACTGTGATTCTACAGTTATATCACAGTAATTCTATGGGCATTGTCACTGTGAAGTAAAAAAAAATGTAGTAATTTACAGTAAATTCACAGTGAGAAATTTAACACTAAGGTTTATATTTCTGTAATGTCTTTTTTAATCTATAAAACTCTTCTGGTTTCTGAATAAAAGTGTATCACTAAACCACTGGCCCAGAATGTTACAGACAAACAACTGACATTTGCATTTTCTTGACTTTTTGAATTATTTTTCTTCTTCACAATCCCCATTTAGTAAGCTGTAACATATTTTTTAAGTATCAAATTCACCAAACTGTTTTATGTATAAGAAAATGGGGGAAAAGTTTAGGTGAATAAACACTTTTGCAAAGCAACGTTCGCAGGATATACAACAGAGTTAAGCTGCTCAAGTTTAATTTGACATCAGTTTGACGTCATTGTGCCACACTGGTGGTCCGCTCATCAAAAAAAGGGGGAATCAATCATGTCATCAAATTCAAAGTGACCAGTTCAAACATAAAAGAGGCAAACATTTGGAGAATCCATCTTCAGCTTGATTGCAGATCCATTACCATATCACCATGACGGAACAACAAAAATGCATCAAAGTGTTTTGAAGCAGAGCAACGCGGTGACAGCCTCGCCCATCTTGTGTGTGTGCCCTGTTTCAAAGTGGGGGATTGATAAAGAGCTCTGAAATGTGTGTGATGCTGCATGTCGGCACGCCATGACAAAGCACGGCTCAGCATTCAGGGGCACTCATCCGTACTCTGCTCCTCTCTGCCTCACGCTCTCCACTCGTTCCTTCCTCCCCCTCTTTTTTTTTCTTCCTGTCTCTCCTTCATACCAACTTTCTTTTCCCTTCTCCTCCTGCTGTCTGGCTTTTGTTCTTTTGTGCTGCTCGGACACATTCCTCAAGCCTGTTGAAGAGCGGGAGAACATAATAGTAGAAGATGGATGGTATAAGGAACATTTAAGTTAGGGAGAAAGTTAGAGACTGGAGTGCAGGTGATTTAAAGAAACAAAACAAAAACAAATCTCATTGTTGAGGAGAAAGTAAGTATAGAGTTAAGAGGGAGTGAATGAAGAGAGGCTTCTCTGTCTTTTGAGGTGTAAGATGTATTAAATTGCTCCTCCGGTGCCAGCTCTATCTGATGTGATCTTCATTCCCCTGTGTTGTCACTGTTATTATCTTTCTGTGCCTCTTTTGTTTCCTACAATGTTCTTTCTCACACAGAGATTATCTTTTGTAACTGATATTATCAGCTGTCATCACAAAGGCTGACAGCCTGATTTTCCTCATAAAATGAAGACAAACTACTGTTAATACAACAAAGCTTTTTTTAAGGTGCAATTAAGGCCCAAAACATTGTCAGCATTAGGAAAAATAAAGAAGAGGACATAAGAACTGGCTGATATCCAGCTGGTTGTCACGATCTGTATGCAAGTAAAACGTTAAGTGATGGCAGTTACTGAACTGTATCTGATGCCTGTCAGTGTCGTGACAAAACTGGATTTTTAAAAAAAGGGTTCCAGTTGAAAAGTAGATTTTAGCATGTGAAAAGTCCAAACAATTAGCTTTTGTTTTTCAGGTGATTCGAAGGTGTGAAAAAAAAAACACCCTGGAAAAGACTAAAGCTGTTTAGTCACCTTGTCTAATGCAGTGAGCTGTGCTGAAAATGAAAAACAAGGAGCAGAAAAAAGGATAAGAAGAATATGACATCAGCAATGTTTTCCCTTTGCTACTCACAATTAAATCTATGAATAATTCATTTATTATGTATCTTCAGGTAGATAAATGGAGCTGGTTAAACCCTGAAGGAAAACCTCTTTAGGATTGCAATTATGACTCAGGTAGAGGGTCACGTAACAGCAGAAAAATGGCTCTCAGCAAACTGCTGGAACTAAATATAACAGCTTAATTAAAAACATAATCAGGAGTTTATATGGCCCGGTTAAAGTCTAGAGTAGCAATGGTGCAAAAAAAAGAAAATCAGGAACCAGAGGCTCAAAGCTGGTAGAGACAAACACAAGACCAGCAGCAGTGATCAGTGGTGCTTCAAAGAAATTACTCAGGAGATGTGAAAACGAAAGCTTTTCAAATTTTAGTTTGTAAAAAAAGGAAGTAAGTTATGAATTTTATTTCAATTTAAAATAAATCCAAACATGCAAAGATAAAGATCATGCTAACAGTTAGTTGCGTAAGGCCAATGAAACAAACTGGAAGTAGTAACCGTTGCAAAGCTAAACAATGCCTTTGCATGGCAATACTAAAGAAAC